CTGCTGGACTATCATTGCTTTTAGGCCCTCTGAACTGACAGAGCAAGGAGGTACATGTATACATATTAACTCCTGTGTAGGGAGCTCTGGTAGCATAGTGGCTAAAGCACTTGACTGCTAACCAGAAGGCTGGCAGTTCAAACCCACCAACCACTCCTCGGAAGTAAGGTTTGGGCAATCCTACTTCCGTAGTGATACTGCCTTGGAAACCCAAGGAGGGGTCGCTATGAGTCGGGGCCGACTCGACGGCACATAAGAACAACAACAACAGGAGCTTTGGTAGTGTAGTGCCTAAGGCGTTTGACTGCTAACCAGAAGGCTGGCAGTTCAAACCCATGAGCCACTCCTTTGATGGAAGATTGGGCAATCTACTTCTGTAGAGATATTGCCTTGGAAACCCAAGAAGGGGTCACTATGAGTCGAATTGAGTTGATAGCAGTGAGGTTTTTATTAAAAAAAAAAAAAAAAAAAACCCTTGTGTAGGAGCCCTGTTGGCATAGTGGTTAAGTGCTTGTCTAACTGGAAGGTCAGTGGTTTGAATCTACTAGAATCTTTGCTCTGCAAAAAAGATGTGGCACTCTGCTTCCAAAATGATTTACAGCCTTGGAAGATTTACGGGGCAGTTCTGCTGTGCTCTATAGTGCAGCTATTGGAATCTACTTGAGGGCATTGGGTTTGGTTTTGGGTCACCTTGTATACATGTATATTTGTAAATATTTCTTTATATAGCTATCTGTATCTATGTTAAGCTTACTTTTTTACTTTTTAAGTTCCTTTTGGATAAAGACTACAGCTGAGAAGCTACTACTTTTGAATTGATTTGTTTTAGACAGCTAATAGATGAGTTTGCTTTCATAGGGTTATCTACAGATCTGAGATTAGCCAAAGTTAAGGGGTGCAGGTCAGTTTAAGTTCATTGTTAAACAAGCTTCTCAATACTCTGCCACGCCCCCACCCCATCCCCAATCTAATTCCAAACAATGAGCACTAAGAAAGAAACCACTTCCCAGTACATCTTTGCTTTTTATTTCCAGTGTTAGTGCATTGGCTGTCATTTATTTCTAGTACCTAACTTAAACTCTTTTTACTTGTTTTTAACATCATTTATATTTCATATTAGTATATAGTGGAGATGTTAAAGACTTTAGCTTTGCCATTAGACCTGGTTTTAAATTCCAGTTCAGTTACTTATGAACTGTACAAACTTGGTAAGTAAGTTTTATATTACGGCTCCATTTAAAAACGTACTTGGAACCTGGCGCTTACACACTCAAAAGGATATGCTGTTATTCATACAGTCATATTCAGGAAAGCTGCACTTAACCTTCCTTATTAGTTGAAGAGGAGCTCTGGTAGCATAGTGCCTAAGGCATTTGACTGTGAACCAGAAGACTGGCAGTTCAAACCCACCAGTCACTCCTCGGAAGGAAGGTTGGGCAATCTACCCAAGGAGGGGTCGTTATGAGTCAGGTCCAACTTGAGGGCACTAACAACAACAAAATATTAGTTCAAGAGGAGCTCTGATGGTGCTGTGGTTAAAGTATTATGCACTAACCGAAAGGTCCTTGGTTCCAGCCTACCAGTTACTCCATGAGAGACAGATGAGGCTGTTCCTCTAAAGATTTACAGTCATGGAAATCCTTATGGGGCATTTCTACTTTGTCCTGTGGGGTTGTAAGAGTCAGAATTGACTAGATAGCAGTGGATTTTTTGTTTTGTTTTGTTAGCTGAAGAGGCTAACAGATTTTGCTCTTTGATGAAGCTTGGTAATTGTCATAGGTATTTGAAACTTTTGACTACTAATTCTAGTTTTTCCCACGTAAGAAATGCTTACTTATTTTCTGGACAATTCATTAATTCAGTGAATATTTGCATATTTGCTATATATACTTGTACTAGATATTAGGAATAGAGTGGTAAACAAATGATATTGTCCCTTACTTCCATAGAACTTTAATTAGAGATAAACCTTTTTGGAAGGGGGGTTGGGGGTAGAACTGAAAACAGCTTGTTGTTGTTGTTGTTGTTATGTGCCGTCGAGTCGGCCCCGACTCATAGCGACCCCTCCTTGGGTTTCCGAGGCAGTATCACTACGGAAGTAGGATTGCCCAACCTTCCTTCCGAGGAGTGGCTGGTGGGTTTGAACCACCAGCCTTCTGGTTAGCAGTCAAGTGCCTTAGGCACTATGCTACCAGAGCTCCTGAAAACAGCTTAGAAGCTGCTATTTTGGCAGTATCACTACAGAAGTAGATTGCCCCATCTCCTCGGAAGGAAGATGGGGCAATCTACTTCTGTAGTGATACTGCCTCGGAAACCCAAGGAGGGGTCGCTATGAGTCGGTTCTGACTCGACGGCACATAACAACAAACAACAACAGTTTGAATTTGCTTTGGATTTTATCTTTTTCCATAGAGATTCTTAGAGTAGTTAATATATCAGAATTTCATTAAACTGTCTCTAGATCATTTACAAAAATTGGAAGATTTTGCCTTTGTTTTGCAATCTTGCATATGTAAGATTTGTAAAGATTTTCCTTTTCCAGACTTAGAGTTTCTTTAACAAAATTATTTTATGTGAGCAGATTTTGGACCTTTCCTTCCTTCTGACTAAAATGTTGTTTGGACCTCTTACTTAGTAGGAACACAAAATAAATTCTCAGATTAACTTTGCTCAAAACTAGCAAAGGTAAACATTTAAATTTAGGTTTTAAAATGAAATTTAAATCTGAAGTTACCTGTTCTCATTCTTGTTTTGCCCATTTCATAACCTGGAGTGATACTTGGTCAGTTTTAGATTTTTTTTCATGTTATAAGAAATGAGAGATCAGTGTCATTTGGAGAATTAATGGAAAATTGTGGAGAGGCTGGACTCATAGCAACCCCCATTGGGGTTCTGAGGCAGTAAATCTTTACGGAAGAAGATTGCCTAGTCGTCCTTCCACAGAACAGCTGGTGGGTTTGAAACTGCTGACCTTCAGCAGTTAGCAGTCAGGTTAGGTACCTTACCCACTACAAGTGCCTTACCTACCAGACAGAGCTCCTTTCTAGTTCCCGGTGTACATTTAATATAAATTGAATCACTCTGACTCTGGATTAGGAACTAATTTATTTTCTGAAACAAGGTGGACTTTTGATGCCTAGGTTGGTTTTAATTTTGGTTTTTGTATACATAAGGTATGTATGACTCCAGTGAGATCCTATTTCTGAAATGCCTGTCACTCTGACCTAAATGGTACGTGTGACGGAAATTGTTTATCATGAGTAATCCCTGTGCATTATACTACCAAACCAAAACCAAACTCAGTGCTGTTGGGTCAGTCTGGGCTCATAGCAACCCCTCCTTGGGTTTCCGAGGCAGTATATCTATGGAAGTAGGTTGCCCAGTCTTCCTTCCAAGAAAGAAGTGGCTGGTGAGTTTGAACTGCCTGCCTTCTGGTTAGCAGTTAAATGCCTTAGGCACTATGCCACCAGAGCTTTATAATGAGAAATAAAATTAGGAGTTCTTGTTTCCAGTTAAAATCTAGGAGTTTTTTTTTTAAACTCAAAGAATGCCCTACTTTATAAGTTAATAAGTTCTCTCTTATATATGATGTTCAACCAGTGGCATTTTTAGGCTTACTTTTATATTTTATTAGCTTTCACCTGGACTAGGTTAAGTTCTCTGAGCCTTTGTTTCCTTATCTTATAGGAATTGTTAGAGTTATTGGGGTTAGATAAACCTAATTAAGGAACTTCTGCATAACATCTGGTGCATGGGTATTTAACTTTTAGTATATTAGCTTCCTCCGTTCCTAAGTGTTATCATCTGTCAGAATGTTATTAGACACCCTAAGTGATCTTTTTACCTTCAGGGAAGAGCTAGCATGAATACATGGTTCTCTTGTATTGGTGATTTCACTTTTTCTTTTTAAGAGCTTAAAAAAAAAAAAAAAAAATTAAAGGGATGTCTCAGATGTTGCCCTTGTAAGGGTCTTGACCCTTTGACCATGCACATTTATTTAGGAGGAGATTGTTTCACCTTCTTCCATTTCTTAGCTTCTATTTCTCTAGTATACCTATTTTCTAATTTTTAGTCAGATTGTTGCATAGCTTCATTCCACATCTCCCACTAGCCTGGACCATATTTGTTTTGCATCTTATAGTCCTGTTTTTTGCTTTCAGCTCATGTGGTTTTGCCAAATTAAAATAGATTTAGATTAGTACATCTTTTATATTTTCTTTCTTCTTTGAGGTAGTAAATCAATGTATTTGTTAATGAATTACTAAGGCACTCTGGTGGTGTAGTGGTTAAGGCATTTGGCTGCTAACCAGATGGTCTGTGGTTCAAACCCACCAACTGCTCCAGGGAAGAAAGATGAGGCAATATGCTTCTGTAAAGTTTTACAGCCTTTGAAACCCAGTGGGGGTCACTATGAGTTGAAATTGACTCAGTGGCAGTGAGTTTGGTTTTCAGTTAATGAATTACTAGCTGGGGAACTTACCTCATTTTGTATAGATGAATTCACTGGACTCTACCCTTTGCTTTTTTGCATAATTCCCTCATTTTCAAGTTTTGTCTGTTTCATACATTACTGTTTTCTGGTTGGGCAGTGTAAATTATCTTTGCGATTATGAAGAATTAATGGAACAAATTATAGTGGAAATAGTTTTAAGCTCTGGCTTTTCAGTAGATACTCTTAATTGGGTGACTTGCCAGGATGATTTTTGGGTACATGAGGATTTGATTTCTAAAGTCAAGTGTAGGCCTGGTAAGGAGTAGTTAAAGAAAAGTATTTCACTGAAGGAAATTGGAAGGAAAATTAATTTTTATATTAATAAAAAAAATTTAAGACAGTATAACCCCAAAAGAACAATTTTGATCTGATCTTTTTAATCAGTTCAAATGTGAGTAGCTGCAAGTATTGTTTACCATGACAGCCTTTAAATAACTTGAGTTATATTAAGGTTTTTGAAGCAATAGATGAAATTAAGCTTCATTAACTAATTTTAAACTTTTTTTAGGTAAATGAATTGGTGGATGCCAGAGATGTCGGCCTTGGTGCTTGGTTTGAAGCACATATACGTAGTGTCACTAGAGCTTCTGACGGACATTCACGTGGCAAAACTCCACTGAAGAACAGCAGTTCTTCTAAAAGGACTCAGGGACATGTAAATCACACTCCCAAAGAGAACGCAAACACACGGGACAGTGTACCCTCTACGTCTAATTCAGACTCTGTTGCTGCTGATGAAGACGTTATTTATCATATCACGTATGATGAGTAAGTGCTCATGCTATTGAGGACTTCATTCATGTTTTTGTTTGTAGACGCAAAGCCTTCTATTCAAGATTGTTATCAAATAATTGTCTCTCTAAAGAAATCATTTTCTTTTGTTTTGTTCCTGTTTGTTTGGTGGTTGTAGTTTAATGAGTAAGGACTTGTCAACACTGAGTTATTGCTAGCTCTTAAGTGGTTTGTTGTGATATAGATGGTAATACCTGGCTTAATTTATGATAACAAAAGTTTCTATTTCTCTCTTCCTCTGTTATAGTAGGTTGTTTTATGTGTGTTTTATCAGTATTTTAGAAGTGATGCAATACCCTATAATGTGTTAGCATTTCAATGAAATAGAATTTTTTTTAACAGTTTGTCATTGATTTATAATTTCCACACCATACAGCTTATCTCTCCAAAGTGTACAACTCAGTATTTTTAGTGTATTCACATGGTTGCACAACTGTCATCACAAACTAGAACATTTTTATCCCCTGAAAAGGAAACTCCATACCCATTAGCAGCCAGTCTCCATTCTCCACTCTTCCAATGAAATATATGTTAAAATGTTAGAATGGAAATAGTATTGAGAACTTGCCTTGAAGGACTAGATTCTAACACTGAATTATTATTTTTCTTTATCCATTTTCAAAATCCTAGTACAAAAGTTAATGTTGGGACAGATTTAGTATTTAATCAAGATACTAAATGAACTTAAGTCATCATTCTTACTATTTAGAAAAATATTATGCTACCAAATTCTTATCAAGTGTGAGTTTAAGATCCTGGAATGGTTGTGATTTTTCCTACCCCAATATAGTATTAAAAACTAATTTCCAGGATACCTGAGTAAAAGGTCAAAGGTAAATCTACCTCTTCTTTTGTTTATTTCTCTGATACTTCTGGTCATGGCTGACTTAACAATACTACATACTGCAAATGAGCCCTCATACTGCTTTTGACTATACAAACAACCAAAAAAACTCACTGCTGTTGAGTCAATTCGACTCATAGTGACCCCTCTTTGGGTTTCTGAGGCAGCGTCTCTGAGGAGGTAGATTGCCCAATCTTCCTTCCGAGGAGTGGCTGGTGGGTTTGAACTTCCAGCCTTCTGGTTATCAGTCAACTGCCTTGGGCACTACGCCACCAGAGCTCCTCTTTTGACTATAGTAGTGATAATAGAACCAACTAGAATAAATATTAAGGTCTTAGGTTTGACTAGAACTGGCAATATTAGTAAATGGAAGTGGTGGTAGAAAGGAGTTGGAGTTGGTATATTGATAAGTAAGCATTCTTTGGATTTATGAATGCTGTGTCAAAGAGGCAAGATACTATAGTGGTGAGGGACGTAAGCTCTCTATATATCTGCTATCAACAAGAAGAATTCTCCTGATTTGCTTTATTGGGTTTTGTATCTTGGAGAATGGAAGAAACAACTACGTAAAGCTACTTACCTGGGCCCTGATTCTGGTCAAAAAAAGAGTCACTGTTTGGCAGAAAATATTGTATAGAATGGCATGACATAACAATAGTAAGTTTTAAGCACTAAGTGCACTCAATGTTACTATGTTTTTATGGTTTTGGGGACTTGTGGAGATAGGTTTAGAATAAAACTATCCAAGAGATAGGCCCAGTACCCGAGTTTGGTATAATGCTACAGCACAAAATATGACCTAATTATGTAAGAGCTGAACTTTCTTTGAAAACCAAAAGATAATAGAAGCTTGTTGTTGTTAATTGTCATCAAGTCAATTCCATCTCATGGCGGCCCCATATATGGAGAGTTTCCGTAGGATCTTTAGGCTGTGGCCTTTCAGGAGCAGATTGCTGGGCCTTCCTCCCAAGGTACCTGTGGGTGGGTTCAAACTGCCAGTCTTTTGGATAGGAGAACACTTAACTATTTGCATCAGCCAGGGACTCCATAACAGAAGCTTAAAATAAAAAAAAAAACAAACTCAGTGCTGTCGAGTCGGATCCAACTCATAGCGACCCCTCCTTGGGTTTCTGAGGTGGTACCACTATGGAAGTAGATTGCCCAACTTTCCTACCAAGGAGTGGCTGGTGAGTTTGAACCACCAGCCTTCTGGTTAGCAGTCAAATGCATTAGGCACTACGCCACCAGAACTCCTAAC